TATATATATTATAATAAATAATATATTTAAGTATTAATTACTATTATTATAAAATGAAAAAGCAATTATAAATCACTAAGCAATATTATATTTTATTAATTCTTAACAGGTTCTCCATATACAGTTGTTATCATACAAATACTCAAAATGCCTCTAACTTGGGAACAGACATCTATGAATCCTTTACTTTTGGTGCTCTGGTGGAGATTCCTTCTATGCTAATTGTTTTGTTTGGTATAGATAAAATAGGACGACGTTGGCCTATTATTATTATGTCAATATTAGCTGGAATTGCTGGAATTATAACTTTTACTATTCCTGCAGGTAAGTAATTTATAGAATTTCAAAAATTATCTAAATTAGACCTTTAATATGTCTAATTATTAAAGGCCTTTATTGTTAATTTGTGAAATTCTTTGTTTTTCAATAAAATTAAACAATTTTTAAATTTTTTTTAATAAGATATAAAACAAAACTATATTTTCTAGGTAATTCTGAAGCCATTCTAGCTTTAGCATTAATACAAAGAATATGTATTACAGCTAACTATAATATTATCATACAATATTCAGCTGAATTATGTCCAACTGTATTGAGAGGACGTGGTTTAGCATTTTTGCGACTGATGGGAACTCTTGGACTTTTTCTCAGCCCATCAGTGGTTTATTTAGTAAGTTTATAGATACATGGAAATGTATTAAATTTTTTTACTATTTTTTAAATTATTTTAAATTTTGCATTATCATTTAGGGACTCTCATATTATTCACTACCTCTAATTATATCTGGAGGTGTTATGTTGTTAGTTGTAATATATGCAATTTTTCTACCTGAAACTTTGGGTCAACATCTTCCACATTCCATAGAAGATGGAGAAAACTTTGGAAAAGATCAGAATATTTTTGATTGTCCTTGTATAGCACCCAAGTATGTAAAAACATTTATAATTTAAATTTAAATCTATTCATTGTTTGTTTATATATAATTAAATATTTTAGGTTAGAAGATAGTAAAGAGAAGTCAGAATCATCTATTCCACAAGCAGTTTAGAACAGCTTTTTTTATTTTTATCAAATTAAATCATCGTCATTTGTTGATCTGATAATATTTATAGTATTTTAGTTTTTTATAATTTTATTTTTCTTTAAAATTTGATTTTTGCTAATATTATTGATTGTTTTGTTTTATTAGTAACATTTTGAAGTATATTTAAAATAATCTTGCAAGTTTAATAATTTACATTCTGAAAGTTAAGATGCATATCTGAGCAGCTTATGATTTCATTAAAAAATTTATTGTCAAATAAATATTAAGTTATTTATAACAATTGAATTGAAATGTAATATGCCTGTTTAATTGATAAAATTTTATAGAAGATTAATACCCAAAAATCCAATAACAAAAAAGAATAATCTGAAATATACATAAAGTGAAATTTAAAATATTTTAAAGACTGAATATTTTAAGTTGAATTAATAGAAACATTGATTAGTATAGAAATTAATGTAGAATTCCATCCAAAAAGACCTGACGCTTATAATGTACAAAGTTGATATTCCACTTGAGTAATGTTTCTCAAAAATTATGTATACTAAGCTATTAATTTTTAAAATTTAATTTTACAGAGAAGCAAGCAACAAAAATGACTAAAGGTAATAATATAGGTAATATAAAATTTAGGTTTTTTATTTTCTTTTCTTCTTTAATTCAAATACTACTATAACTATTTTTCTTTCCTTCTATACATTCAAAATAAGTAAGTTAATTAAATTAATTCTAATTAAATTTTAACTAGAATGATAGCATCATCATAATAATTTGTTCAAAAAATTAGCAGAATTATGACATAAGAGATCCAATTATTTGTCATGTAATTAATTATTAATCTATATATCAATTAGAACAGTAATAGAATTTTACAATTTACTTTAAATTGGTTACTTTACAAAACTCTGGGGAGAACAACAACAACATTGGGTACTCTAAAATCTTTCATCATTTTTAAGAGGTTTTGTAAATTAATAAATGCTCTCAACAATAAATATCAAAAGTATCCACTTTCTGCATTGCTGTATAAAGTTTTTTTATATTTTTTTTTATTAATATTATTTTTTTTAAATCTTGTTTACATCTTAAGCTAAAAAGTCAGCAAGGATGCAGATATCATATATTTAATAAAACATAGACAATAACAGATATGTGAGAAGCAATTTTTGCAGAAAATATAGTAACTGAAAAGTTTTATTGTTACAAAATCATTAAGAAATTTAGTGTATTTGGCATGGCTAACTTTAGTAGCATGTACAGTACAACATCCAGTCTGTTATTGATAAGTGTTTTGCAGCATACCTTAGGATATTGAAGTCACTGTCTTCATCATTCAGTGTTTCAATTCTGCCATGTCAATAACCCTATTTTCATATACCCTATTCTTTACAAAATAAACTACAAAGGTATAAGCTCAAGGGAGTCAGGATGCCATGGCATTGGACCATTATAGCCTATCCAACTTGTCTAAGAATTTGCAGGTCATCTCTAGTGTGATGATTCTCCATCTTACTGGAAAAAAGTTCAGGTTAATTTGTTCCAACTGAGAATTATCAAATAATTCTAGAATATCCAGATAATTGTCAATTCTTACTGTTAAATTTCACTGTTTTTACTTCCAAGAAAACAAGAATAAAATTTAACAGTAAGAATTGTCAACAATAGAGTAAAAATTTTTTGAATAGATGGGTTTTTTCCATCAAATACACAACATGATATCTATTCTGGTTAATTTTTTTTTATTAAATATCTTCATCTGGTTAATAAAATTGCAGACATTCCATATACTTAAAATTTTTTAGACAAGCTTAATTAGTTATTCAAATCATCATTTTTTTTCCTAAGCTTTTTGTTTTTTAGTTGTTTTCAAATAAGTTTTTGATTCTGTTCCATTCATTTGTTGTGTAGTACTTTGATTCATCATCATCAACTCCTGTATCATATGCCTCTTCAAAGAATTCTATCTAAGTTTTCTACAACAGTTTACCTCCAATTCTCTATCCAGTTCCCAGTTGTATATCCAGTTCACTCTCTTCTGTATTTTGTCTTTTCATCACATCTTTGGTCATCTTTGTTCCTGATCTTGGGGTCTATTCTGTTGTTCTCTTTTTTCATCAATCATCTGTAGCTCTTTCCACATGCCCAGCCCAACCATGTTTTCTTTCTCTAACCCATTGTATAATATCTCTAATCCTAATTTGCTTTATTTCTTCAATTTTCATCCTATATCTTAGGTTTATACCTAACATAATTCTCTCCATTTTTCTCTATACTATCCTCAATCTATTCTTTTGTGATCTTGTGATAGCCCATGTCTCTGAACCATATGTCAACATAGGCAAAATACTTGTCAAATATTTTCCTCTTCAGACACATTATGCTTTTCTCTTGAAGAAGTAATGGATGTTTTCTATATGATTGCCATTCTCTTTGTATTTTTGCAGTTATTTCAATCTCCTTCCCATGGTTAACTTTGATATATTGTCCTAAATATTTATATTTACTACTTTAATGCCATTTGTTCCTAATATCATTTGTCTTATATCTATGATAAAATTATTATACAAAATTTAGTCTTGTGTATATTAATTTTTAATCCTTTCTCCCTGTAGCTGTTTCATCATAACTTCTATTTCCTTTACATTACTTGAAATCAAAATAACATAGTTTGCATATTGAAGATGATTAAGGTTCTCACCACCTATTTGTACCATATTTTTGTGGATTGACCAGCATGCTGCATATAACTGGAGAGACCAGCATTCCAGAAATCCCAGAGTTACCAGCATGCTGGTTAAATTACAACTAAAAAATAAAATTAATCAGACCTAACAAAACTACTTGTTAAATAAATTTTAAAAACATTCTTCCAAGTACAATAAAATAATAACATTGTAATTTGACTGTCTTAAAATCAGGAAAAGCATTTTCATTTACAGGACAATAAGACAATTAGCAGCTTATTGACATTAGTAGTAGTAGTAGTAGTAGTGTGTGTGCTGCACTGATCATCTACCCTGAAAAATATCTTCCTCTCTAATTTCACACAAAAGAGATGTTAATCAGTGTAAGTTGAGATAATTTATAGCCAGTTGCTGAAATTTAATGTTTATTTTTGCATTTTTTAATCCAATTACAATAAAATAAACATAAAAAAGCACTTTCAACATTCCACAGTATTTTCATCACTTGAAAGAAGACGAAATGAAGAAATTAAACATATAATTGTAGTTTTTAATGTAGTGCTGACAGCTTTACAGTTTTAGAATAAAAACTTGTTTGTTTTTTTTAATGCACTCTCCAGAGAGGGATGTATAACTTCACTTATGCCAGCATTCCCATGGAATAAACTGGCATACTGGTTTTTACCATAATGAAATATCTGATTTTGTGGTCTCCCCTGGATAGACCGACATGCTGACAATCTACAAAAATACAGTATAACTTCTCCCTTATACTCTAATTGTCTGAGAACTCTTTCCAGTGTTGTAGTAAACAGATTGGGTAATATAGTATCTCCCTGACTAACTTTTCTCTCTATTTGATTTTGATTATTCCATTTCATTTCTTACTTCAGATGTTCTATTTATATAAATATCTGTTAGAATTCTCAGATATGTCCTGTATACCTTGGTTTGCTAGTATTTCCAACATTTTTGAGATTTATACAGTATCAAAAGCTTTTTCATAATCTATAAAACAAACACAGAGGCAAATGATATTCTGTAGTTTACTCTATTGTTTGATTGTGTAGGTGATCTAATGTTGATTAATTCTTATGAAATTCTCCTTGTTCACTAGGTTGGTTATAATCCAAAACATTCTTCAATCTGTTACATACTTTTGAAAATAACTTATAATTAACTGGGAGGAGACTAATGGGTTTGTTATTTTTTACATCCTGTCTATTGTTTTTTTTATAGATCAGAATAATTGACCACATTTTGAAATCTTGGAACCTTACCAATTTTCAAACATTGTGTAAAGAGGATTAAAAGATATCCGATTACCATCTTCCCACACACTAATTATTTTGTGACTCCATCTGGGCCTGGAGCATTATCCATCTTCATAAATTTTATGGCATATCTCTTCTACTGAATATATACCAACTATTACAACAAAGTTCAGGTTAATATTGTATTCACTTAAGTTCTTGGAAAAAATTCATGATTATTTCTGAGATTTTTTTTCCTATTTGTAAGAAGAGTTCTAGTATCATCTATTATTGCTATAATGTTTTTTTCCCCATTTTAATGTCTTAGTAAGATCTGTTAATTCCTTTAGTATTCTCTATTACTTGTTTTATATATTGAACATTAAATTTATGAATATCTTTCCTAGTCTTTTTTATTTATTGATTTATTTATATGCTATACTCTTAATTCCTTGATTATCTTTCTTTAAAAGTTCTTCTTTTCTTAATCAATTCCAATGTGCCTGCTTGAATTTTTCCCAATATTCCTTTGTTATGTTGTTAGACCTGCTTTGCATTTTCTATTAATGCACTATTATAATGATATTGTATCCATTAATATCATAACTATTTACATTTTATCATGACTAGAGTTTCTTCTATTAAGGTTCCATATCTGACTCTAAGCCGTAGGCTCTCACTGCAGTTCAATTTTCCTTTAGACCAACCTTTACACTGAAGTTTCCCATTATCATATTGAAATGATACCTTTGTTTCTATAGTAGATTTTCCATATCTTTATATAAACTTCCACTTTCTGATCTTCAGAACTTGAAGTAGGTGCAAGGAGCAGAATAACTCAGTTTGTATCAATAATTAATCTTAAAGACTAGTTGTGTGAGTGTATCTAATGCAGCTGTAAATTCCTCAATTTTGTCTTCATGCCTTTTATCCCACTCCATTTCTGCCAGCAGCTTCTCCACTGCTGATTGCTAGGATATTTCCACTTTTCAGTTCTAATTCTTTTCCTGCTTTTCTATGTTCACATATATCAATAATATCCTACTTCACTTCCCTAAGTTCCTCTTCAAATTGTAATGACCTGGATTCATCCTTTATTGTATCTATATTATGAGTTGCAACATACAGATCTTGTTGCATGCAAGATGATAGAGCCAGTATGAACTTGTCTGAGAGTAATCATTCAACATCAACTCAACATTGGACTTTGATATATGTTAATATGAGTGTTAATGCGTAAGAAAAGTTATCAATAATTTGTTGGAGTCAGTATGTATATTTTTCTTTTACTTCATATTTTAAGCTTGTGTCTTTGTTCTATTCGTAAGTTTTTAATGTTTGCTGAACCAAATGATTGCCATAATCAGGTTATAAATTTGCTATTATTAATGATTAGATATTAAATAA